GGCGGTAACCCTGGGCAAGCCGCAGAGATAAGGCGTAGGGAGAGAGACAAACAGGCAAAAAACGTGGCCAATACGAACAATACCCGAGGGCGGAGGGTACTGATGTGAACCGCGAGCGGCATAAGTTGCAACAGACCCCACTGCCGTTGGCATTCGCCGGGAGGCTGCATAGTAACGAACAACCGGCACGCCGAGGGGAACTGCGTTGGGAGGCCCCACCCCCTTGCCAGAGAGTAAAGGCGAGTCAGCCAGCCAATCGACTACAGAGTGAAGTGACTTTGCACGGTTTAACCATCGCCTCTTCCGCCTCTCGCTTTTCATCATATTTCAACGGAGGGCCAGGGGTCTTTGCAGTTCAGAATGCCTGTGTCCATACCTATAAATGCGAGCTGAAGAAGACCCTAAATAACGGATTCATGCAGGTACCAAGAGACGCAAAGCTTACCCATGTTAATTCTAGGAGGGATTTCCATTAATATGCCCCTAAGTGGCAGAAATGTATCCTTAATCTGAAGAATATAATGGACAAAGCAGATCGTGATACCAGAGGCCTAACATAAGATGCGACAGGTTAAACCTCTTAGTGCCCTAAACGACAATAACAAAACCAGATAATGCGCCTAAGTCTTCTTTCTTGTGTTAATTAAAGGAAACATATGAAACAGAAAATCAAAACCCAATCGTGGCAGGCAGCAGCAAATTAAGTGAGTCATTTCTTCAATGTGCACGAGGTTTATGTGTGTGTGTGCGCGCGTGTGTGTGTGCGTGTGTGCGCGTGCGCTCTCGTCCTCAGCTTGAAGTCTGTGTACGGCAGTGTTAGAAATTATTTCATAGGAGTAGCCAGAAATAACGCTAGAATGATTCGAATCCACAAAAGTGCAGCTCTCTCAGAAGCAGGGGCAAACGTTTGCAACTTGCTTTTAAAATAAGAGTTAGGTTTGTAGAGAATAAATATTGAGAACCATCCCCAGGTTTGCACACTGTATCTGTCTTGTGTGCCCTGTCACTGACGTGTGCGTGTGTGTGTGTGTGTGTGTGTTGGGGGGCGGGGGGGATTCCGTGGCACTTACCCTATTTTTAGCATTGACTGGTACTAAAAAAGACACTTAGGCCCCCTTCCATATCCACTGTCTATAAAGTTCCCTCTTTCACGGAGGGGAAGGGAGGAAGTACCCTCTCACACGTATCCCTGGTTGCCCCTTCTGACTTTCTACTTAAAGGCTGCCCTTGATTTTCATTCGAATCTGATTTCATCTGTATAAGAATGTGGGTTGGGAAGACACAGTTTCCAATGTTAAATGAATAAGCTTCTGCAAGCTTGTTTACCTGAGGGCTTAATAACCTTTAATGTGTTACATGTTAGAAATCTGATAGCATATGGACGGAACAATCCTGAGTGCCCAGGGATTCAGCCACGAAGCCCTAGCAACCCTTTAATGAACCACACCCCATGGTGCTCGGAACCCTCCTTAGTGCATTATTCAGCCTCCTCTCTCTGCAGGCCACTGGGCTGTGTCACTCCGACCTGGCTTTCAATGTCTTGTTTCTTGTATCCTGCAGCCACACTCTTGCATTTTCATTTTTTCTGTAGCTGAGCCCACCTTCTCTCCTGAGCGCCAGAGCCTGAGTGAACAACTTCCCGCAGAAGAGCCTTCTCTAGTGTCCTCTGCCTCTCACTAGAGTAGGGAGGCTCTTCCACTTGCTCCTTAGTGCTGCCTGCAAACCAATGCACCATCACCAACCAAGTGTCTCGGAAGGTAGTGCTGTCTGCTTATGCCCCTACCCTCCTTCTTATCTTCTGGTCCCGACCTCAGGGCTCCTCAGAATCACCTGGGACATTTTGAAAAACTTCGTCTTTGGACTCCCTCAGATATACCAAATTAGAATCATTGGGGGCTGGGGTAGGGTGGGGGAGTAAGACCTAAAAATCCCTATTTTAAAAACAAACCCCAAAAGGAGGAACAGCAGGAGAGGATGAAGAGAAGACAGAACTCTCTGGGCAGTTCTAATGTACACCCAGGTACAGTGGGAATCTCTTCACTTAATGCTACAAAAAAGTGATAAACAAACAAAAAACGTGAGCAGCCAGCTTCATTCTCTTCTCTGCTTTGTCTTTTGCCAGGGACTTTGGGGTTTGTGTTGAAGCTCTCTTAATTCTTTGACCTTGAAGTTCCTCAACATCTATTCCTAGAGCCTCAGTGTCCACTTTGCTTCAGCTAACATCTTGGACTTGTTCAGTCTTGAGCAAGACGGAACCTTCGAGATCTTGAACTTGGACTTCAGCCTATTTAGCTGATACTACCCACATACTGCTCTGGATTTTAACCATCGCCAAGGACCCTGATCCCTTAAGCAGTTGCTGTTCCAATCCTTCAGCCCATCTGTGACTCTGTTTCTCCACTTGGGGCATGTAGGTTGCTAGCCATTTCTGTTCTGTCTGGGATCCCAGAATCCTTTGTTTCAATGTGTTGGGCTTCTCATATTCCAGTCCTCAATCCAAAATCACCCCCCTTACTTGCTTATTCTTCTCCCAGCCTGCCACATTATCCAGGAGGAAGTCACAAAGACTTTTGGACAGGTTCCATTGAAAATTTACGCTGCCTCTAATTTCACCAGATAAATTCCCACTTTACCTTCCTCAAGACCCCCAAGTGTCTTTCTCTTCCTCTCTTTGTCCTTCTTTATTTCCTCTTTCTCAAAGGAAGAAAATGTCTACAAGTCCCTTCCCCAAGATTAATCGACATGCACTCCACACTCTTCATTCTCTGGTCTTGATTCCTTCCTTCTCACCTCTTTTGGGAACTGGCTGCATTTGTTGTTCCTCTTCTCCAGTGTCTTTGGTCCTTCCCTACTCCGCCCCAGCCCTTACTCCACCATACGGGTCATCCTCCCCATAAGAAACTATGGTAGGGTCCTCGCTCTGTCCAATAGAATTTTCTGTGGTAAGAAAAATATTTTATATCTGCACTGTCTCATAGGGTGGTCACTATCCACATGTGGTTCTTCAGCACACGAAATGTGGCTAGTGTGACTGAGAACCAAGTTTTCCGTTTAGTAAATTCTAAACTAATTTAAATCCAATTGACGTAGTCAGATAGGGCCAATGGCTCTTGTATGGGGCAGCAGTGTTCTTGATCCTGCTACTCTGTTGAACTGTCCTCAGGTTGTCTTCTTTGTCCGCTAACCTATTCTGGTTTCACCCTCATCTTTCTGTTGAAACTGCTTCCTTGGAGAGCTCTGGCATAGGTGTCCTGGCTGCAGATCTGAGGCCTTTGCCCTGTCCTTCTTCTCCTTGGTCCCTGCCCTGCGTCTCCTGGCAGCGGTCAGCCCTTTGTGCCTCTCTCTCTCCCTGTCTCCATGACACTGGTTGTCCAGGCCTACTCGAACCTCATTTGTTTCCTTTTTCTTCCTGGCCTGTAGACACAGGGATGCTGTGAGAGCCTGTCCTTGGTCTTCCTTTTCCTTTTCCTCTTCCCTTCTCCCTGCCCCAGCCTCCCCTCTGAGCCCGCAGTAGTATTTAAAGAGCACTGGGCGCTTTCCCCGCGCCTCACTGGGCGCCCTCGCCCACTTGTACTACTTCCTCTAATCCTTACTCCAACTCTGTGAGGGAGAGACTCTGATTACTCCCGTTATGTAGGTGCAGAAATTGAAGTCGAGGGAGATTTGAATAACTTAAAGAAAACACTGCTTTCAAGGAGCAGATCTGGGAAAGAGACTCCACCAGTCTGACCTTAGAGCCGCACTTTTAACCCTGTTTACTCAGGGCCCCCAGGTACCTTCAAATCTATATTTTGGGCCCTGAGCTGTCTCCCACATTTCACTCAGAATGTAATACTCAGAAGCCTGGCTGCTTTGTCTCTACCTTGTCATCCTGGCTTCTGTAATAATTTTTCCCCTTTTTAAACCTTTTACTTTGAATAATTCAAATTTATAGAAAAGTTACAATAATTGGCCAGGTACAGTAGCTCACGCCTGTAATCCCAGCACTTTGGGAGGTCAAGGTGGGTGGATCACCTGAGGTCAGGAGTTCCAGACCAGCCTGGCTAACATATAGTGAAACCCCGTCTCTACTGAAAAAATACAAAAATTAGTTGGACATGGTAGCGAGTGCCTGGTAATCCCAGCTACTCAGGAGGCTGAGGCAGGAGAATTGCTTGAACCCAGGAGGTGGAGGTTGCAGTGAGCTGAGATCGTGCCACTGCACTCCAGCCTGGGCGACAGAGCAAGACTCCGTCTCTAAAAAAAGAAAGAAAGAAAAGTCGTAATAATTAAAATAATTCCCAACATGCCTTTCAACCAAATTCTCTAAATGTTAATTTTTAACACGCTTGCTTTACCTTTCTCACTCTGTCATATTCTCTCATTCTCTGTCTCTGTGTCTGTGTGTCTATGTGTTTATGCACACACATATGTATACACACACACACACACACACACACACATATATGTATGTTGTCATTTTCCCTGAACCATTTTAGAGTAAGTTGTAGACATGGTACACCTTTGTCCTCCTAAATACTTAAGTGTATATTTCCTTTTAAAAAGGACATTTTCTTGTATAAGTGCCAAAATCGGAAAATTAGCATTAAGAGCTATTATCTAATCAACAGGCCTTATTCATGTGTCATCTATTGACCTAATAGTGTCCTTCATAGCAAAAGAGGAGGAAAAAAAGATCTTTATTGTTTTGTTTTGTTTTTGAGACAGAGTCTTGCTTGGTTGCCCAGGCTGGAGCATAATGGCACGATCTCGGCTCACTGCAGCCTCCACCTGCCTGGTTCAAGCAATTCTCCTGCCTCAGCCTCCCGAGTAGCTGGGATTACAGGCACCTGCCATCATGCCTGGCTAACTTTTGTAATTTTGTAGAGATAGGGTTTCACCATGTTGGCCAGGCTGGTCTTGAACTCCGGACCTCAGGTGATACACCCGCCTCGGCCTTCCAAAGTGCTGGGATTATGGGCATGAGCCGCCGCACCTGGCCAAAAAAAGCTTAAAAAAAAAAAAAGATGTTTTCTGGTCCAGGATCCAATCCAGGATCTGTGTTACATTCGTTGTCATGCCTCTTTCATTTCCTCTAATCTGGGACAGTTTCCCAGTGATTCTGTCTCTCGTGAACCTTGACACGTTTGAAGTGTGCAGTCCAGTTACGTAGTAGAATGCCCTGTAGCTTGGCCTTGTCTGATGTTTCTCATGAGTAGTGGAGTGTGTCCTTCTCAGTGTATTCCTTGATGACATTAGTGCCGTCATCCTCTTCTGTGTAACCAGAGCTTGAACACCTGGGGTTATTCTGACTTTCTGTTCCTTACACTCCCACATCCAGCCGGTCATTGGGTCAAGTTGAGGTGTTCCCTGCACAGTCTCCCTCCAGTTGTGCCTTCCTTTCTGCTCCTACTGTCTCTCTCCTGTTTGGGGCAGTTGTGGAGTGAAGGCCTGTGCACACTGGCCTCAATCGACTGTTCCAGCCTAATCAGCCACTGCTTAGCAACAGGAACCCAAGGGTACCATAGTCCTCAGCAATCGGTATTTCCTCTGCTTTGCCCCCTCTCCACCCCTTCTCATGCTGCTCTGAATTCACATCATTTACCCCTTTGAATATCAGACTCAAATGCCTGTTCCTCAAATGCTTTTCCTGATGGCCCAGTTCAAACTGATCCTGCCTTCTGCCCAGTGGCACTGGCCAGCCCCTCCGTTCTTGCACAGTGGCTTGCTAATGTTATTTCCCTGCAGAATGGAAGTTCCTGCAGTGCGGGGGCTGTGTCTTGTTCAGCACTGTAGAGGCTCAATGAATATTTGTTGACTGGACTAAATTATTTGATGAAATCATTAAGCAAGTACACAGAACCACCATGGAGCTGTCTGCTAGCACGTGGTATGCGATGGTGGATGTGAGACCCATGCCTTACCCGAAGAGTCAGGTGGGTGTTGGCTCAAAATAGGATCCTTTTAGTAAAACGGTGGATAATTTGAGAAGGCATTTTCATGTTGTAAGTGGGAAAAATGATTCTTCCCTGATGACATCTTAACGTCGTGTGTATGTGTCAAGACAAAGAAAGAGCATATTTGATTTTTTTAAAAAAGAGTAGAGAAACTAACATAGCATATTAAAAATGGCCCATCTAGTTCTTCACACGCCAAATGAGCAGCTGAATGTGAGAGGAGTAGTTTCTCCAGCTCCCTTCCTCCCTGGGAGCCCTGGAGCCACCTGCCTCCTCTGGCTGTCTGGCCTCCTGTGTCTCCTCTGCTGTCCTTCAGCACTGCCTCCCCACCTTACTCACTGTTTCTCTCCTCCCATATTTCACTCTTTCTGTCTGTTCCTCTCTCTTAATTCTTTTACTGTTCTCCCTCTCCCTATTGACTGTTTTATTTTATTTTTTGACTTATCGGATGTGGTTTTATGTTCCATGAGTTTTTCCACATAAAAGCAGGTGATTTTTGCAAAAAGAGAAAACCCAATTGGTTTTTATGCCTTGGTGGTCTTTTGTTGACTCCCTTCCATGCTCAGTGGTTCTTGTTATTTAAAAAATGTAGTTATCAGTGATAATAAAATGGTTTATCGGAAGGAACATAATTACCTCTTTCTGGTACACCAGGAAAATTACTAGGAATGTGCTGGTTGATAAATATCAAGAAGCCTAAAATTTTCAGTTGCTGCCAAGGGAACATTGGTAGTTGAGGTTGAAAATCAGATTTCAGTGTGGTGAAAACTCAGATTTCCGGGTGGCGAGCTGCTGAGCTTACTGGGAACTTCAGTCTTCCTCCTTGAAGGTGTCTGCACTTGCTGACTGGCGGTCACCCCCTGCCCCACTTCAGAACGCGTTTGTGGAGATGACATTCTGTCTGGATGAAGCAACTACAGAAGTGCAGGCAAGAGATTCTGCTGCCGTCGCTGAGTGTGGCTTAAATAAAAAGCATGTTTATGTGGGAGAGAATGTGTGGGGGTTGCTTTCGCATTATGGAATTCTTAAAATTGTTGAACCGGGAAGATGTTATTCAGAAACCCCTGGTGCCTTCAGCTTGTTTTTTGTTTATTTCAGGTTTCTTTTTTCCCCCATTTTTAATTATCTCTGGAAAAACTCAAGAGTCCTCCCCTGCTCCTAAAATAGTTATAAAATTAATGTGCTGTACTCAGGTCGTTACTCCACGTAAAAGAGTAGAAGACTCCCATGTTAAGCAGAGAAGTCCAGCCTCCTCTCTCTGAGTGTGAGAAAAAGGGCATAGACTGGAGACTGGATCTTTCTTCTGAGCCTAAATTCTTAGCTTTTCAGCCAGCAATTCATAGAGGGTAGAACCAAAAGTCACCACCGGCATTCTGTCTGTACAAGGGTACACAGATTCGTGCCTTCCCCTCCTAGTTTAGTAGGTAGAGAGTTTACATGGGCTTTTAATAATATTTTTTCTCTTCTAGCTGTTGCACTTGGCAGATTTCTTTTTTAACATTTGGTTATGTGTCTTTTCTAATGCTAGAAGAAAAGTTGCCAAATATTGCTGTTGATTATAATAAAACAACCTAAAAGTAATGACTTCTTTTTTGGTGTGAGTGTCCGGGCATGCTGCAGGGTGACCTCCAGCCTCCCGCTGAGCTCACAGCGTGAGTGTCCGGGCACACTGCAAGGTGACCTCCAGCCTCCCGCCGAGCTCACAGCTGGAAGGGCACCTTCAGTCAGCAATCGATATGTCATTTGGGTAGAGCAACTCAATAATGAAAACAGTGGATCTTCCCAAATTAGAAAAACAGAAAGGCGAATGAACGAATATGTATGAGTGTCCCGTGAAGAGGCGCTGTGCTAGGCTTTGTGGAGATTACAGGTTCTTGTAGGATGTGGTTCCCGCTGCCCTACAGCAGCTCACCTGGGGAGACATAATCCGTGAAAAGTTCAAATAACAATAGAAGATTTAAATAGCATTTCAAAATAGCTGTTATGAATAGAGGAGAACAAAAACCAATCTGTTTTTGCAAGGGTTCTCCTAAAAATGTTAACATCATTCTAAGCTGTGGAGAGTGGATTGAAGCAACATCAGTGACCAGTCATTGGGTTCTAGGGGTCTGTCTGTAAATCTGTCTGGACCTGCCAGAGGCCGTGTGTGCATTGCAGATTGACCGCCTCCCTTCAATTATGCAGAAATATCTGCACTGGCTGGAAGAGCACTGTCAATGGTTTAAGCATTCTAAAGTTCACCTTTGCGGGTCCGAAACACATCACCCCTCTCCCTTCTACCTCCAACAGAATTCCCTTTATGAATGTGATAGAATGGAAGGGAAAGAGTGCAAGTCTTGCTAAGTGGACTGAAGGTCATTTTCATAAAGGGCATTGAAAGTATCTGCTCTGGGACCCCGTGGAGGGACTTGCACTTTTCCTGGAACCTCAAGTTTTTGGAATACTGTGCTGGCGTCACTCCAGAACCACTGGACCTGTACAACATGCTGATTCCCTGATGCACAGGCGATCCAGGCTTCAGTCCCAGCTTTGATGAGAGCACCAGCCTCAAGCCTTGTTCTGTGCCCACAAGGAAACGAAAGTAAAAATTGATAGCAAACTTACTTTAACTAAACCATAGTCTTTGCAGCCCAGAATCAGGCTTGTTTCTTGGTTTTGATTGCTGTAAATGAACGATTTATACTTTTTATTGTTATTGTCGTTCACTGGTTCATTCTTTTCTTCAAGAAGGTTTTATTTACATTTGTGTCATTGTGAAAATAGCGCACTTGTTGAAGTATTTTGAAAATCAGGAAAAGCAGAATAAAAATGTACCCAGTGCCACTATTTACATTTCGATTTATTTCTTTCCACTGTTTTACAAGATATGACTATACTAATACTTCTAGTGCTAGAATCCTTGCCTCACCCTCTCCAAGATGGTTGTAGGATTTCTGGATTGCTGAGATGATGTACAGTTGCAAAAATGTCAAGATGTGTCAGGTAAGCTACATTTGCTGTTGGCCTAAGGACAGATGTTTTGGTGTGAGGATGCCCAATGTCTTAGAGACCATGTAAGTCCTTGATGACGTACCCAAATTTCCCTAGATCGGCCTCACAGCCATAATGCCATGTGCATTCCTCAATATGCTAGCCCAATATATTTCTCCCAAGGACGGCTCAGCTATTCTAAAAAATTCTGATCAGGAGTGGGGAGAGGTGAGCTGCTTATGAAGAAGACAGAGTGTGCTTATTTGCACTGTTTTCATTTCCTTTGCACATAATTTGGAGGCACTTCCCCAACTGGGACAGTGTGGTTAATTTGTGGAAAGCTCCTGCTACTAGCACTGGTCCTTCCTTTGGCCTTGTCAATCTAGATACATTGGCTTGGGAAATTAGGCATCCTGACCTCAGTTGCACAGCCCTCTTCCTCCTTTTACCAAAGCACATGATTTAGCCAGATACCAACTATCCACACCACAGAGATCATTCCAGCAATTTGGCATGGGGAAAGTTGGTAGGAGGATGAGTGAAGGGAGGGGAGGGAGAAACAGCGTTAAAGGTAGCCTCAAGACCATGGAGGCATCTAGGCATGGAGGGAGGAGGCCTCAGATACAGGAGAGAAGGCAGGCAGATAATTGGTGGCCTGGGCACTCAGCAGGGCAGTGGTTACCTTGTCCTTGACTTTGAGTCTCCTACCTCATCCATCTTTGCTGGCCCATGGTCAAGCAGTCTTCTCACTGTGGGGAGAAAGTGAAGGGGGAGGAGCAAGAGGAGCAGGATATGGTAGTGGTGGCAGTGGTAGTGGAGGTGGATAACTTCAACATTTGCAGGGTTGGCTGGGTGTGGTGGCTCAGGCCTGTAATCCCAGCACTTTGGGAGTCCTAGATGAGTGGATCATGTGAGGTCAGGCGTTTGAGACCAGCATGGACTACATGGTGAAATCCCGTCTCTACTAAAAATACAAAAATTAACTGGGTGTAGTGGTGGGCACCTGTAATCCCAGGTACTCGGGAGGCTGAGGCACAAGAATCACTTGAACCCGGAAGGTGGATGTTGCAGTGGGCGGAGATTGCGCCACTGCACTCTAGCCTGGGCCACAGAGCAAGACTCTGCCTGAAAGAAAAAAAAAAAAATTGCAGCGTCCTTTAAACTCATGAGTCAAAATGTTTGCACCATCTAAATTGTGGTGCCTTGGAGCAAAGCTCTGGCTCCCAGGCCCTGGTTATAGTTCTAAATAATGTGTACTATTGTGCATTGTAGGATGTTTAGTAAGATAGAGAGAGAGAGAGAGAGAGTGTACTATAAATCCACCTTGGTGGGTTTTGTTTTTTTTCTTTTTTACCTTAGCATTATAGCAAGGACATAAATACATAAATATATTCTTAGCGGTTTTTTGTTTTTTAGTTTTTTTAGAGACAATATCTAGCTAGCTCTGTTACCCAAGCTGGAGTACAGTGTCACGCAGCCTTGAACTCCTGGGCTCAAGCAATCCTCTTGCCTTAGGCTCCTGAGTATCTTGGACTACAGGTGTTCACCACCATGCCTGGCTAATTTATTTTTTATTGTTATTTTCTTGTAGAGACAAGACATTGCTATGTTGCACAGGCTGGTCTTGAACTCCTGGCCTGAAGCGATCATCCTACTTCAGCCTCTCAAAATGTTGGATTACAGGCATGTAATCCACATTCCTGGCCAGCTATTGATATTCTTTTGAGTGGATGTGCTGTGTTCTAACCGCTCTTCTATTGTTGGGCATTTAACCAATAGCCATTTATAGAAATATTATCATCTAGTCAAGATCACATAGTATTAGGTATGGTTAAAATGCTTTAAGAGTAGAGATTTCATGGGGATTAGTTACTTTGCCATGGAATTCCAATTTCATGGTCCTAGAATGTATAGGGCAAGAGTGAGTTCTGTACATCCCCTGGAGTGTCCAACAATTTAACTCCCCTTTGAACTCTTGGTTTACATATTTTTTTAAGTGGGGGCAGGAAGAAGTAATTTCTTTCTTTTAAATTGACACAGTGAAAAATTAAGAAGTAAAAGATACATTTAGTCAAAGCTCCCAGTGTTCTATCTGTTCCTGTCTATTTTTCACTTAGAGAGAAATATGACCCTGACTTGGTATTTGTCATTTTCACGTTCATCTTTAGATGTTACAGATTTGGCATATTACTTGGCATAATTTAAACCTTTATAAAATGACATTGTGTAGTGTTCATATCCTTCTTCAGCTTACTTTTTTCACTTAATATATTTGTGAGATTCATTCACATTGGGGCTTGTAATTATAATTCATCGTTTTCTCTTTCTTTCCTTTTATTTATTTATTTTTTTGAGACAAAATCTCACTCTATTGCTCAGGCTGGAATGCAGTGGCGAGATCACTGCTCACTGCAGCCTTGACCTCCCCAAGCTCAGGTGATCCTCCCACTTCAGCCCCTTAGTAGCTGGGACAATAGGTGTGTGCCACCACACCCAGCTGATTTTTTTTTTTTTTTTAATGGAGATGGGGTTGCCATGTTGCCCAGGCCCACTCCTGGGCTCAAGCCACCTCAAATGATCCATCCACCTCGGCCTCCCAAAGGGCTGAGATTACAGGCCTGAGCCATTGCACCTAGCTGCTAATTCATTTATTTGCAATCCTATTTGTTCTTTCATTGCATGAATATGTCACAGTTTATTTCTCCATTTGCCTAATGATGGGCGTTCATTCCCACCTCCTCATTTTTTTGCTATTAGAAACAATGCTACCTTGAGTATTCTTGCAAATGTCTCCTTAAGAGCACATTTGGAAAGTTTTTTGAGGATTCGTTAGTAGTAGAATCATTAGGTCATTAGGTTTGTGCATCTTCAGCTTTACTAGATATTGAACACTGCTTTCTAAAGTGGTAGTATCAATTCACACTCCCATCTGGTGTTCCTGTTGTTCCATATATATTC